TTATTATTATTATTATTATTACTATTTCGGATTCTCTTTGGAGCTCCCTAGTGCGCACACCCTCCTTCTTTCGGTTTTGATCTCACTGTTGCTTCCTGGACTCTCGCTGGTTTCTGACCTCGTCTCTGCCTTTTGCGATTGGATTTGTTGCCTCGATTGAACTGTCCCAGCCCGGTTTTTGCCTTTCGCCGGCCTATCGGTTTTTTGAGCATAAGGACTTGCGTTTTTTGTTACATTTTCTATCGGGGACTTCCTGCAACCATGTGGGGATGTCACCAACTTGAACCCTGCAGAGGGTCTTTATTTTTTAGCATAACGATTGCCAGCACTCTGTCTGCAAGCCCAGAGATTTCAGAACTGATGCCTGGTGTGCTGCATGCTGAAACGCCTAAGCAGAAAAAAACGATGCAAGGACCGAAGACATTTGCACTGAATGCACGCATGGGATTTTCTCTGAAGGGCTGTATGCGGCTGTTGATTGCATGTGGGGATATACCACTGAGACAATACTTCCAGTTCAGGAAAATTATTGACAGAAAAAGAGATAATAGAGTTCCAGTGACTTTATAAGTAATTTATAAGCGGTCAAATGTCCTTCTTGCTCTTTGCATTTTAAGGAATGTGACTTGGCAATATGGAGCTCCAAAGGATGGGAGAGCCAAGCAGAAGGTACAATACAGTGAGCACTGTGAGGAAACAGTGCTGATGAATTTGTGAAATCCCAGGGCAAGCTGCCTTAATGTCTGGAGTGAAAATTAATGAAAGTCTGCTCACACTCCTGGAGCTGCGCACGGCGTTAAACTGGATCAATAAGCATGATTTATTAGCAGACGTATCTTGAAGTGGACCGTCCTCCTGGTCATCTGTTAGCAATTAGAGATACGCTAATGACCAGAGCGTGCGAGAGCCCCAGGTACAGCTCTGAGCGGCTGTACTCCTCTGTGCTGCAGCCTGTTCGATTTCTCACACCCCAGAGAGAAGAGTGCTTTCGTTCAATGCGCACACCTGGAGGGCAGAGGGTTTTTTTTTTTTGTCGAAAGCCTTTAATAATTGAAAAGCATTCCTCATAGGGACACGGGGGACACAAAAGGTTTCTGCTGGAGAAAAAACGTTCCTTTCCAGCTGCCAAAGAAGCTGCCTTTCTGGTGCCTGTGCTCGGCTTCTAGTCCGTAACCTGACTGCATTTTTTGCTCTAGAAATAATTAGGCTGACGGGACATAGCCGTAGACAAACCTGATTCCTACGGAAGTTCTGTAA